AAAGTGCCAGGTGTAGAGATACCTCAACTAAGACATTTGTTGTCAGAAGGAAAAAGGAGGCTGAGAATGAGATGAGAAATGTGTAACTAGCTACAAGTATTCCTCTGCCCTCCCCAGACTCCCATGTCAATTGGAGAAAGACTTGAAGAAAATAAAGTAATTTTTGTCTTTCTAGCTCTTAGGTGTGGCTTCTAGCCGTTGGCACATTGGTTGTCTTTTCCATAATCTATCCAGGGCAACCCCATGCAGGCCCATGATGGGTTTTGTACATGAGCCTAACTTCTTGTTTTTCTCACTTGGCTATGTGTGTCTTTATTGTTGTTGGTGTGTGTGTCTGTGTGTGTGTGTCTGTGTGTGTGTGTGTGTGTGTGTGTGTGTGTGTGTGTGTATTGGTGGTGGTGGTGGTACTCGTGGTGTGTGTGTGTGTGTGTGTTTATGTGTGGTGGTGGTGGATGGGTGTGTGCATTCACATGCGTGCACACTGAGAACATACAAAAGCAAGCCACTAAGGCTCTCCAAGGCCAAAAGGACACTTGTCAGACATTCCAGAAGGCTGGGCAGCCTCTGCTGCATTGGCCTCCCTCGTTGTCTGCAGCTCCTGGCTTGGGGACACTGCCAAAGCACTTTGAGCTGTTGCGCTGTGTTCCCTGGTGCAGCAAAAGACAAAAGTTCAGGAGTGAAACCTGTACCTTTTCCATGTCTGCTTCTTAAATAGCAGATGATGTGTGGGCTTAGAATTGAGTCCAGGGACTTTCCTGACCTTCAGCCTACTCTTGGGGGTTCTAGATGAAGTGACCGAGTGTGTTGTTAGAACAGGTCAGAGGGTACACAGTGCATCTTGTCCCAGGCAACATTAACCAGAGGGTCATGTCAACATGTCACCCCTCCTCTACACCCATTCGCATGCTGACTGCTAACTTCACCAAGGACATAGTCATTCAGTCAAAGGGGTGTTCCTGTCTCAGATGCTGTGAAGTTGCTGTTTCTTGGTGTTTCATTCTGTTGAGTAATAGCAGAGAAATATTTGATCATATATCTGCAGAGTATGGTTATTGAGTTCCAAGCACAGAACAGAAAGCCAAGTATTGAAGGAAAAAGGAAAGAAAAGAAGATGAAAACAATGAGAAAGAGAAATGTAGATTTAAATTTAAATTCTGACTTTTTGGAAGGGGAAAAAACGTTGTCTGCTTTAGATTTGGTTCATTCCTGCTTCAATGGAGAAATCTTGTTTGGGTTATTCCTTTGTGTGAGGACTGGCAAAGTCTAGAACTGATGCGGTCTTTAGCCTTTTTGAGGCATTTAATGGCAGTCTGCCCTTAACTGGTTTGGCTTCAGACACTGTGTTTGGGATACT